AAAACAGTCCCATTTACAATTGCATCAAAGAGAGTAAAATACCTGGGAATGAATTTAGCCAAGGAGGTGAAAAACCCATACACTGGAAAGTATAAGACATTGGCTGTAGAAATTGAAGATGACACAGATAAATGGAGAGATGTTTTGTGCTCATGGATTGGAAGAATTAATATTGTTAAAGTGTTGATACTACCCAAAGCAATCTACAGATTCAGTATAATCCCTATCAAACTTCCAGTGGCATTTTTCATAGACATGGAACAAACAATCCTGACATTTGTATAGAACCACAAAAGATCCTGAATAGCCAAAGCAATCTTGAGAAAGAAAAAGAAAATTGGAGGCATCATGCTCTCTGATTTCAAACTATATTACAAAACTATGGTAGTCAAAACAGTATGATATTGGCGTAAAAACAGAGACGTAGATCAATGGAACAGAATAGAGAGCCCAGAAATAAACCCATGCATATATGGTTAATTAATTTATGACAGAGGAGCCAAGAATATACAGTGGGGAAAGGATAGTCTCTTCAATAAATGGTATTGGAAAAACTGGACAGATACATGCAAAAGGATGAAACTGAATCACTATCTTACATCATACAAAAAAATTAACTCAAAATGGATTAAAAGTTTGAATGTAAGATCTGTAACCATAAAACTTCTAGAAGAAAACATAAGTGGTAAGCTCCTTGGCAATGATTTTTTGGATTTGACACCAAAAGCAAAGGCAAAAAAAACACAAATCAACAAGTGGGACTACATCAAACTAAAAAGGTCCTCCATAGCAAAGGAAAAACTATTGACAAAATGAAAAGGCACCCTCCTGAATGGGAGAAAATATTTGCAAGTCATATATCTGATGAGGTTAATATCCAAAGTCTTTAAGTAACTCATACAACTGAATAGCAAAAAGCCAAACAATCCAGTTAAAAAATGTGCAGAGGATCTGAATAGACATTTTTTTCCAAAGAAGACATACAGAAAGCCAGCAGGTACTTGAAAAGATGTCAACATCATTAATCATCAGGGAAATGCAAATCAGAACCACAATGATATGTAACCTCACTCCTGTTAGAATGACTATTATTAAAAAGACCAGAAATAACAAATATTGGTGAGAATGTGGAGAAAAGGGAACCCTCATGTACTGTTGGTGGGAATGTAAATTGGTGTAGCCACTATGGAAAACAGTATGGAGATTCTTCAAAAAATTAAGAATGGAACTACCATACAATCCAGCAATTCCACTTCTGGGTATTTATCAGAAGAAAATGAAAACGCTAACTTGACAAGATATATGTATCCTCATGTTCATTGCAGCATTATTTACAATCACTAAGTATGGAAATAACCCGAATGTCCATCGATGGATGAATGGATAAGGACGTTGTGGTATACATATATGCATGGAATATTATTTAGCCATAAAAAAAGAATGAAGTCTTGCCATTTGTGACAACATAGAGGGCATTATGCTAAGTGGAATAAGTCAGACAGGGAAAGACAAATACCATATGAATTCACTTACATGTGGAATCTAAAAAACAAAAAAAGCCGAGCTCATAGATACAGAGAACAGATTTGTGGTTGCCAGAGGGCATGGCGGGGGGGGGTGGTGGAATGGGTGAAGGGAGTCAAAAGGTGCAAACTCCAGTTGTAAAATAAATAAGACATGGGGAAATAATGTACAGCATGGTGACTATAGTTAATAATACTGTATTGCATCATATTTGGAAGTTGCTGAGAGAATATGTCTTAAAAGTTCTCTTCACAAGAAAAAAAATCTGTAACTATGTAAGGTGATGGATATTAAGTAGACTTATTGTGATAATCATTTCACAATATATACAAATATCAAATCATTGTGTTGTACACCTGAAACTAATATAGTGTATATCAGTTATACCTCAATAAAACAAAGTTAAAAACTGGAAGAAATCAGAAACAGAGCAAAAGTATATTGGGAATAAACAAGGCCAATCTTGCCTTGAACTTCCTGCAGTGTTTGTTATGTTCTCTTTAGTTGATTCAGTCTTTTATGTGATATATAGATGAATTTGGTAGGCTTTAGGGGGCCAAAGACAGGAAAACCCCACTGCTGCATTCCCTGTAGGCCCATGTGCCTGGGACTTAAAATCAGGGCAGCATGAGCATAAGGCCTGAAAACGTGTGCAAACCCTCTTTTCCTTTCTAATCTATTTCCATTTGGGTCTTTTTGCTTGGGAATATTTGGCCTGAGCTAACATCTGTGCCAATCTTCCTCTAATTTGTACGTGGGTTGCCGCCACAGCATGGCCGCTGATGCGTGGTGGAGGTCTGTGCCTGGGAACAGAACCCAGGCCACTGAAGCGGAGCATGCCAAACTTAACCACCAGGCCACAGGGCTGGCCCCTCAACTCCATTTTTTTAAAATAATACTGTTAATGGGAGTCTGTTTAGTGTGTTTAATCTTAAATTGCTTAGCCAGTGATGTAGGAAGAAGTTAGAGGTTTTGAAGAGTAGAGATGGGTTTTGTAAAAGTGAATGTACTTCATGAGAAGTTAAAACATTTCATTGATTAATTATGTATGTATGTACTCACATACATATAGAAAAATGCACATGAATATGTAGCTTGGTGGATTTTCACAAACTGAATATATCAAGAGTAATCAACACCCAGAAACGAAAGCAGAACCCAACTAGCATCCCCAGTACTCCCATTGTGCCCCTTGTAGTTACTACTTCCTATTCGGAGTAACAACTATTCTGGTATCTAGTGCCAGAGATGTGTTTTGCCTGATTTTGTACTCTATATAAATTAAATTATGCTGTATATATATATTTGTGTCTCTTCTTTTGCTCAACATTTTGTTTGTGAGATTTATCCATATTTGTTATATATGGTTAGAGGTTATTCATTTTCAATGCTATACAAAATTCCATTGTATGAATATACCACAAATTTGTCCATTCAGTTGTTGATAGGCATTTGGATAGTTTCCAGTTTTTAGCTATTAAGAATAGTGCTGCTATCTAATACCATCTATTAATGTATTTTGATGCACATAGGTATGAATTTCCTACGACGTTTTATGGTTTTTATCCATAATCAGTGAACTCTGTGTTCTTCAGCATTGCAGTCAATATATTTACTATGTGTATCTTACTCAAAAGAGAGGTTTAGTTGCAGATATTACCAAACCTTCCCTTCTTAGTGTTCTCACTAAACTTTGTCTACACTTCAGATTCCTTACATGTATTCTGGTTAAGTATGGACATTCATGTCTTTTATCAGATTGTGAGTGCATTTCAGTACTTTGTTTTACTTGCTTGTGTATCCCTGCACCCTGGCACAATACCTGAAATACAGTAAGCTGGTTGAGGGAATGGTGATAGCCATCACCATTGCCAGCGATTAACACAGCAAGTCTCCTTAGTTATGTGAACCATCTAGCTAGGGTGAAATCCTTGCTTTAGTTTGACATCTCAGAGTCAAAGGGTTACGAATGGGAAGTGATCACTCTGAGAGAAGCCCAGACCTGAGAGCTCAGAACTGAACATGCTGTGTGGTTAGAGGGAATTGCTGTGGCTTTACAAGCCTCTTGGAGATTTCATGTGTTAACAGCAGTGATTCCAAGGGATACTGTGGGGGCCAGATATAAATAGCAGAACACAAATGGGGTAATGTGCCACTGCCAAGCTACTGCTGGGGGTGTTTATAAAAAGAAAAGCATTCCCTTCTCAGCTCTCACTGTCAACAACCTCCCATCCTGAAGACACGCTCACCACAACTGAGAGACTGGGGGAACAGTTTGAGACCTAGCATCATTTAAACCTCCTCCACAGTCAGAAAAGCCAGGTAAACATTTTGATTTATTTACACTCAGCCTATGGAAGTCAAGAATTTTCAAGAAAACCCTGATTCAGAGCTTGCTTGCCACGTACTGCCTTGTGACAGTTATCTGTCAAGTATTATATTCCAAATCTTTTTAAGAAAAGGAAGTTTAACACAAGGGTGGCATTTTGGTAGTATATTTCAATATCTTTAGTGAAAGGAACTGCTCCTGAATAAAGATGGGAATCTGGGGCCAATGGGAGGACTATCTCCTTTCCCATTTTCAGATGCCAGAATATGGTGATTGGTAGGATAAAATAGATATTTCAGTTCAGTTCTGGTGATATCAACTTTGTTGTAGGTATGTGAAAGGAATTGTAGACCAACCTTTAATTGAATTGGTTAATGGCTCTGGGACAGCTTCAGCCCTTGAGGGCCTCTTACCTTTTGTTTACCCCTTTCAGTCTCATAAACATTGGGGTGAATACTCGGCATTCAGCCAGTGGAGTTGTATAATCTTACTAGAATTGCTGCCTACCCAGTTCCTTCTTATTCTCATTCCCGCCTTCAGAAAGTTATTCAAGACACTGGTTTTATCCTTGGGCTTCTCTTGAATGTGAATATTTGGGAGGAGGAGGCCCCCTTGGATAACTGGTTTGAACCACTACTGGTTTCATCATCTCCGTACTACCCACATGAGTTTGACTTGGTTTGCAAAGAGGATAGAAGAATGGATGATGTGCTTGGACACTAACTCCTGTAGAATTCTTGGAAACTGGGAGCTAGGGGACCAGATTGAAATGGTTGTTTTTCAGTTTGTGTTATTTCCTGTGTATGCTGAGAATAGATTTAGAGATAGAAAGAAAATATGACTACTGATGACCATGGTGGAACAGATGACGTATCTGGAAGAGACTGGAAATGGACAGATTTAATCTTGAGCAAATTGCAGAAGTTCTCTGAACTTTTGTTTTCTTATGTTTAAAATGAAGGTGTTAGACCACCAGACAAAATCTAATGGCCCTTCCAGCCATTGGAAATTTGTTGATAATCACTTTCTGACCATCACGATACCCACTGTCATCTAGAATGAAAATATTTATAGTATGTCATCCTCTCCACTTCCCTAAACCTCTTTTTTAAGTCTACTAAATTGGAATTTCTTCATTTTAATTTAGGAGAGAAAAATGAAGACAGGACATTTTGAAATGGTCAGCATGGTGCTAGCAGCTATGATTCTAGTGGACATCTTCCAGGTAATGTTGGGAATGGGAAGCATGTGGTCACTGGAATGGGAACTCTTGATATAACATTGCCTGAGGTTTCTTTGTAGGTTGATGATGGAAATGAGAGCAGACAGAATAGGTAAATCAGTTTTTTACAAGTAACTTTTATCTTTTCGTTTTCCACATTTGATACAGGTTAACTGTAGAAAGTTGAAAAAATTAAACTTAAGCAAAAAGAGGAAAGCAAGAATTATCCACAGTCCTTCCACTCAGAGGGAAAGATTCTTAATCTGTTGTCTGTTCGTGTATAGTCTTTTCAGCTTTTTATGTGTGTATTTTAATTTACAAAAATGGGTTCACACTGTACGTAGTATTTTTTTACCTTGCTTTTTAAGTTAATATTGTGCTAGAACTGTCTCAGTCATTAAATATTCTGAAAATGTGTTTTTCTCCAAATAAGACAACACTGTAGTGTTTGGTTACAAGTTTTCTATTAAACTATATAATGACCATTTTCTCACATTCAGTATTCTTTTTTTCTCATAGAACTTTTATGGTTTTATTTTTCAGTTGAATCTTTAAACATTCTGTAACATATTTTTGTGTGAAATGTGAGACTGATATCTCACTTGGTTTTTTTCCTCCACATTCTTAACTGTCATATCACAACTGAGTATTTGTCCCCTGATTTAAAGTGCCTACTTTAAATAGATTAATTTATTAAAATTTTATCCATTTTTGAATTTAATATTCGCATCCATTTTCTTTAGAATCATTGTGTATTCTCTCGCCTATACTGTACTGTGATTTTTTTTATTGAGGTATAATTCACACATCATAAAAATTCACCATTTTAAAGTGCACAATTCTGTGGTTTTTATATATTCGCTACGTTGTGCAACCATCACCAGTATCTCATTACAGAACATTCGTATCACCCCAAAAAGAAACCTTGTAGCTATTAGCAGTCAGTCCCAATTTCCTCTTCCCTGCATCCCCTGGCAACCACTAATCTGCTTTCTCTATGGATTTACCTATTCTGGACATTTCATCTGAATGGAAGTATACAATATCTGGCCTTTCGTATGGCTTCTTTCACCTAACATAAGGTTTTCAAGGATCATCCATGTTGTAGCATTTATTAGTACTTTGTTCTTTTTTATAGCTGAATAATATTCTCTTTTATGGTTATGCCACATTTTGTTGATCCATTCATTAGTTGATGGACATTTGGGTTGTTCCCACTTTTTGGCTCTTATGAATGAATAGTCCTGCTATGAACTTTCATGACAAGTTTTTGTGTGAACATATATTTTCAATTCTCTTGGATATTAGCTAGGAGTGGAATTGCTGGGTTGTATGGTAACTCTATGTTTAACTTTTTTTTTTTTTTTGAGGAAGATTAGCCCTGAGCTAACTACTGCCAGTCCTCCTCTTTTTACTGAGGAAAGCTGGCCCTGAGCTAACATCCGTGCCCATCTTCCTCTACTTTATATGTAGGACGCCTACCACAGCATGGCGTGCCAAGCGGTGCCATGTCTGCACCCGGGATCCAAACCGGTGAACCCCATGCCGCTGAGAAGCGGAACGTGCGCACTTAACTGCTGCGCCACCAGGCTGGCCCCTATGTTTAACATTTTGAAGAACTGCCAAACTGTGTTCCACAGTGGCTGCACCATTTTACATTCCCATCAGCAGTGTATGAGGGTTCAGTTTCTCTACATCCTTGCTAACACTGATTATTTTCCTTTTTTTTTTTTATCATCAGAACCATCCTAATGGGTGTGAAGTGGTATCTCACTGTGGTTTTGATTTGCATTGTTAATATTCTTTTGCAACATAATTTTCATGTGTTTGTTTTATGAATGTTCCATAATTTGTTTAACCAATTTCTTTTCTTGAACATTTAAGTTGTTTCCATATTTTTGTAATAAATTTTTGGTAATTGAATTTCATCAGTATGGGCTTTTGTTTCAGTGGATAAATCAGAGGAAGAAAATATGATCAGTGCGTTCATGTAGCCTTTTGTTCCTGTCCCTTAATGTCCATTCAGTTGCCCCTGAATGGTGGTGGTATTTGTGAGCTTTTTCACTGCTCAAGGCACTCACTGTACAGAACACACAATCAACTGTGGCCTTGGGCCAGAAGGACTTGATGTCTAAAATTAGACATGTGGAGACTGGTTAGAGGCATAGGGAAAAGACAGGAACATATTGGATCAACTTTGATATGATGTGAGGAATGTGGGAGGTGATTTCAGGATATGATGTCTTATAATATGTTGAAGTCTTGAAGATAAATCAGGCTTTGGTGCTCAGGATGCTCTCTGGTACATTCTGTGCTGTAGAGGAAAGTGCATTTCTTGGCTAGGAGATGGCAGTGATTTGATCTCCTGAAACTCAAATTCACACTTCAGGAAACTGACCTACAGACCCAGGAGTTCAGAGATCTCAATGACTTCCCTGGCGGAATATTCTGTGGCTGGTAATCAAGACAGTTTCTGATGCTGGCACAGTTCCTTCATTTGTAAAATGGTGTTCTGAATTGTCTGCCCAGCCTTTCATAAGGGTTGTTATGAAGACAAAGTTAAACTCTTAAAAGTGCTACCTAAATGTCAGTGGTCTTCATCATTGGAAACAGAACATTTTGGTTAAGAGGACAGACTCTGGAGTCAGGTTGTCTGGGTTCAAATTTTAATTCCAGACAAGTTACTCAATCTGTGTCTTAGTTTCCTCATCCTTAAAAAAGGGATTAATAGGGGTACCTACCTCACAGCTTGCCTTGAAGATTAAATGAGTTAATATATTTCAACACTTAGTGCCTAGCATACAGAAAGCACTTTGGACAAGTTTGTTAGGCCTTAGTAATGGAGTGGCTACAGAGGGTGACTGAGAAGGAGATAGCTAGGAAAACTTCACAAATGAACAGATGGTTTATATAAGGACAAGTTGGTGGTGGTCATTGTAGGCAGTAAGATTATAAATTTGGTCTTAGACTGTTATGTTTGAAGTATCTTTGAGTAATTCAAGTGGAGTTATTAAGCATTTGGTATACAGGTCTGGTACTTACAGGGATGAGTTAGAGGTATTTAGAAGATAATTGAGCTATGGGCATGTATATAATCGCCTAAGTGTAGAGTTGAGAGTTAGAAAATAAAGTAGCCTCGAGAAACTCCAACATTTAATAGTCAACTAGAATATGTTGGATCTGCAAAGGAGTGTTAGAAGAAATGTCCCCTTAGTGAGAGCTGTTTAGGTGGAGGGTTGAGTTATGAGTGGAATTGAAATGGAGATAGCAAGGATAGACATCTCTTTCAAGAAGTTTGTGAGGGGGAGAAGAGAGATAGTGGGAAGGGGATAGGTAGTGTGGGATATGGAATCAAGTTTTATTTTGCTTTTTTAAGTTGATTCTCCCCCACCCAACACACACCCTTTTTAAGAATCACTCACGTGGAAACTGCAACTTAAACAGCTCCTGGCTAAGTGTCTCTATAAAGTCTCCAACTGAGGTTGCAGCTTATGCAACCAGTGTTCCATACAAGGATAGAGTAGTGGAAAGAGAATGGTGTGGCAGGCATTATCCTTTTATTTGTAGAAACCCTTAAATGGTATCCCTTGGCAGATTTACTCATCTTACTTTATTTTTCTTTTTTTCAATGGTGAGGGAGATTGGCCCTGAATGAACAGCTGTTGCCAGTCTTCCTCTGTTTGCTTGAGGAAGACTGTCCCTGAGCTAACATCTGTGCCAGTCCCCCTCCACACTGCATGTGGGACGCCGGCACAGTGTGGCTTGATGAGCGATGTGTAGGTCTGCACCTGGGATCCGAATCTACAAACCCTGGGCCACTGAAGTGGAGCACACAAACTTAACCACTCCACCACCAGGCCAGCCCCATGCTCATCCTATTTTCTGATCCATAGGCCAGAGTATAGGGTGCTTATTTAGTTCAGTTGAATATATTGCCAGTTACTATGCTAGGTGCTTGGAATTCAAAACATAAATATGACAGAGATCCTGCCCTTGAGGAACTTACAGTGTAATACATATATACTTTCATGAAATAAAAACTACAGTTTATTGAAGGCTTGATATGTGCCAGGCATGAGGTTAAGGGCTTTGCATGTATTCGTTATATCATTTAATCCTCATAACAATCCTACAAGGAAGATATTTCCTCACTTTATCCTTGTTTTTTAGATGAAAAAATTGAGCTCAGAAATGTTGAATAACTTTCCTGTACCTAGTTAGTACCTAGTTAGTAACAGAAGTGGAATTTGAACCCAGATCTGTCTGGCTCCAAGCTGGTGTTAATTATATTACACCACCCTGCTTCTTATGTTATGTGTATCATTTAAAGATGCATTAGACCCTTTTCAGTTGTATATGACAGAAGCACAATTCAAACTAGGTCAAGCAAATAGGGAAGCAATTGATTCTTATGCCTGAGGTAAAATACAGTCTTCAGGTACGGCTAGTTCCAGGGCCTTAAGTAATATTATCAGGCCCTCATCTCTGTTTCCACCTCTCAGCTCTGCAAGCCTCTTTATTCAGTTTATTTGCAGATAGGATTCTCCATGGGACTAAAAGGATAACTGTTGGTGCCCCAAGCCAATATTATACTTAGAGCTATGGTTGTAGAGGAAGAAAGAGCCCTTTTCCCCCCTGAGATTGCTCTGGTTTTTAAGCCTGCTGAAGGTGCAGAATCAGTCCTACCCAAACCACATGGACAAGGCAGGAGGAGTCCTTAAAAGAAAAGGGTAATACTTGCCATTTTGTATTTATCTATTATGTACAGTATGTCACATATGATATTTCAAATTCACTCAACAGTCTTGAATAGCTAAGAATATCATTCAAAGCCAGGACTGCGACCCATTCTTTCAGTTTCACACTCGTTCTTTGCTCTGCACTAAGGATTCAGTTGGATGAGTTACAGGTGTAATCATACCCATGCTTCTCATCCACTAACATTTACTCTTTCATAAAAATAGGTCACAGCTGAGAGAAGTTATCAATGGCAATGGAGTGTACTTCCTACATAAAAAACATATCCAAAGTTGATTATAAACAAGGGAGAGATTCTTGGCAGGGCACGAGAGGGTAGGGTCAGTAATGTGAGAGAAAATGATATATACCAAATATCTTATTTCAAGAGTATTAATCTCCTTTTCCTTTGAAGGTGAAAGCTGAAATATTAGACATGGCAGATAATGCGTTTGATGATGAATACCTGACATGTACTGACAGGATGGAAATCAAATATGTTCCCCAACTGCTCCAGGAGGAAAAAGCAAGCCATCAGCTCTTGGCGGATGTGTGGGAAAATGCAAAAGCCAAATGGGAAGTCCAGAAGACTCAGATCTTTCTCCCTAAAAGTTTTAAGGATGACCATGGAATAGCTCTGATGGCATATATTTTTGAAGCTCAAGAGCAAACTCACTTTTACCATCTGTTCAGTGAAGCTGTAAAGATGGCTGGTCAGTCTCGAAAAGATTATATCTATGGCTTCCAGTTCAAAGCTTTTCATTTTTACCTGACAAAAGCCCTGCAGTTGCTGAGAAGACCTTGTGAGGACAGTTACAAAACTGTGGTGTATATCAGAAGCCAGGGTACTTCATTTACATTTGGAGACACAAATCAAGCCAGATTTGGCCTTTTCACCTTGGCGTATTCAGCCAAACCTCAAACTACTGATGACCAGCACATTTTGTTAACCATTCACACATGCTTTGGAGTTGCTGTTGAAAAGTTCTTCGATAAAGAAAGTGAAAGAATTATCTTAATACCTCTGAATGAGGTTTTTCATGTGTCACAGGATGGGGCTGGCAATAACCTTATCCTTCAAAGCACAAACAAGACCTGCAGCCATTACGAGTGTGCGTTTCTAGGTGGTAAGTGTCTGTTCTGTCTGTACTTGTCTGGGAGGGAAGAAGTGGAATTCTTAGGCCCATGGAGAGATCAAGAAGGAAATTGAGAGGTGTTTGAAAGGAGAAATGACATTGGTGATCTCAGTCTAGTTCCTTTCATTCTGTTAGTTTCTTTTTCTGTAATTTAATCTTATCAAAATAATACATCTACAATATTATTGAAAGTTAAAACAAACAGATAGTACGATAAGGCAATTGTTTTCACCCAGGGACAATTTTGCCCCGCAGGGTCATTTGGCAATGGCTGGAAACACTTTTAGTTGCCTACTTAGAAGGCTTACAATGAAAAATAGCAGCCTCCTGCCTCACTCTTCCCTATCCCCAATTCCCACTCCTCAGTGGCATCCATTTTAATTCTTTTAGCTGTTTTTTTCAGGAACTTACTGGCATGTTTCTAAGTAAATAACATTCTTCAGCATGTTATTTCTTGATTTTTAAATTTTTAGACATCATCTATTGACTTCCCATTATAGAGAATGAGTATTTAGTTCTCATATACCTTCATTAGTTAGAAATTCTTTATTGCATTCAGCTGTAACAGAAAACCTGCCTGATAGCTATCATTTAATAAGAAGTCTAGAGCTAGGCTGTCCAGAGTTGGTACAGTGGCTCAGCTACATCATCAGTGACTCAGGCTCTGTCTTTCTCTTCCACCAGTCTTAGCATGTTGGTTGGTTGGTTCACGTTTGAGTGTGACCGTTGCAGCTATAGGCATCAATCGATGTTCAAGACAAAAACCAAGGGAAGGGGGATGACAGCCAAATCTTCCTCTTTAATCAGGAAAGTAAAAGCTTTCCCAGAAACTCCTAGTAGACTTCTGATTATGTATCATTGGCCAGAACAGCTATTTGGTCATCTAAAACTGCAAGAAAAACTTGGAAAGGGGGTAATTAGCTTTTCCAACCTCCATAGTGTGGGAAGACAAGGGAGAAAGGAATGAGAAATAGCTATTAAATCAGTAAACCAAAAGTATCTGATAATCACCTCAATATTTGTGCATTTCCCCCTTCTGATTCTTGCTAGTGTAGTAGGGACTAGTACCTTTTTAAGTACCTCTTTTACCCCAGGGTTATTAGTTGTATGACTTTTTTTGTTTCCTTAGTTTTCTATATCCCATCCATAGTTCACCCCCAAGTCCTTAGAAATATAAATCTCTTCTTAATACATTCAGACATAACATATTCTCATTTTTTTTCTCTGTGTAATCCTTCTGAATCCCCCCCATCATCCTTCTCTATTGTATGCTCTTTAGGCCTGCCACATGTCCTGAAATCTCTCCTCACTACTATTTTCAGAGTTGGTTTTGCTTCTCCCCTGTGAGGAATCCCATATATCTTGGATTTCCTCCTCTTTCTTGAATTACTCCTTTGTTTGACAGGAGTAGAGGCTTCCAGAAGTTTTCTGAGAAAAGAGACATTGAGGCAAATTTTCTAAGACTTTGCATATCTGAAAAATTTACCTTTAAGCTTGAATAATAGTTTGTGTAGATTTATATTTCTGTTTCGGAATTTATTTTCCTTGGAATTTTGGAGATGTTTCTCCATTGTCTTCTAGTTTCTTGTACTGCTGTTGAAAAGTGAAGTTGTTCTAATTACTAAAACTTTGAATGAGACTTTTTTTTTCCTCTAGAATGTTTTAGGATGTTTTCTTAATCCACAACATTCTGAAATTTGATGATGATGTGCCTTGGTGTATATGATTAAAGGGTTAACAAATCCTTTCTCCTTCCTCCTATGAGAATAGCCTTCTGTTGATCTTCTAGCACCGTTTCTCTGAAATCTACTAAAGTTGGAATGATAGCTGTGTAGTGATGCAACACTGACTAATGGTAAACATAACCCTTCATTGGTAAAGTGCATCTGAGCTGGGAGGATTGTGAATGAACTATAAATACCTAGGGGGAAGCCATAGCTGTGGGCATTCCTGAATGTGATGTGACCTACCCAGGTGTTCTTGCTGAGTCCTGGAATTACTGGTATAAGAGACATTTTCTTCCATATGCGGCCTGAAGCTGCTAAGCTAGGATGGTTCCTGCACTAACCTGTTTAATCTTGTTTCCTTATACCTGAGCTGTCATTCTGGGGACTAAAAACAGCCCTGGACTGCTGTGAGGACTTGTATTGAAGGGATATACTGATGCTGCCCTGTTGCTAAACGGTGTGCTGTGTTCCCTGCCTTGCGTTCTTCCGTAAAACTGAGTAAACAGGTGAGGGAATGCGTTTTTGGGTGTTACAGGTGTGATTGTCTAGCTGAACCCCAAACTATGGCTGCTGGTCAAGCAGAGTGAGTATTGCAGTAGTGCCTCGGGAGTGAGATAGGCTTCTAGACCTTGACTCAGTGTGGCCAAGGCACTATGAGATAAAAAAGAAGAGGTAGAGAAGTGCTGATGAGACATCATGCCTGGGTAGGGGCTGATCCACTTATGATTTAATGGCAGAAACTGTGTGGCCATTGAGGTGCCTGGGACACAAATTTAAGGAAGTCCTCACTCTCAGGGTTGTACACTTGCACATTCTGTACTTGCATGATCCTAAGAGTGAGTGCTTACTTAAATTTTGCACTCTAGACACCTCATTTGCCTCATCCCAGTACTGGCCCTGAGTTGCAAGTGAGTGAGACTAACTGTTCACCTTGAGAGGGCAGATGAAGACTGGAGTAAGTAAATTTGTGTTGAGAGGAAAAGTGCCCATTCCCCTCACCAACCCTACATTAGACTTGACCAAAACCCAAGTCACTTGGAGCCAGTTGTACTAGCTGATGGGACCTGATTGTAGGAATGCATCTCTTCCCAATTCCTCATACATTACAGTAGCTTGAAATTGGCCACAGTTAAATGAAGACCCCATCCCCAACCTCAGAATCTGTTCAACTTTACCAGCACATCACAGCCAGAAACCCAGTTGTAGCTAGGCTGACAAAATGATACCACTTTTGGTGCTCCTGATACATTCAGTCAAATGCCATTTTTGGAGGCATTGGTTATACAGAAGCCCTGGCTGCAGTAGCTACAGGCCAGATCAGTAACTAGTATGTGGTTGATGGACACAGATGGGCAGTGGAGCCCACAGAGTCCATGTTTGTGAATAGGATTATGATAAACAAAAGAGGTGGAGCCATTGGGTTGATTCAGAATGAGCCAGGGCTCAGACCAGCGTGGGGTAGTGCGTTACGAGCACCATGTGAAGAAGAGGGCAGAGGAATGGACACACCTCTGTGGACTTGCCCACAAAGTCAGGCAGAGGCTACATAGCACGTTAATGTTCAACCACAGATGTCTTTGTGGAGGCTCACTTGTACTGTTTGTTTGGAGAAGTCTGACAGTCAGGCACTTGATCGTGTTGGTTTAACTCTAAACTGGCATCTAACCAATGTCTTCTGCTGCCATCTAGAGATAACTAATGGGAACTCAAGGTCAGAAACTCCCTAAAGTGATCATTAAAGCTAGGCTGTTTGAAACACTATTAAGTATAATAACCAGGGGTTTTAAAACCTCAAGCCAGAAGAATATAATCAGAGCATTGTTCCATTGTGACTGAATATAACTCTGGATGAGAAAAGACAATATTTCTAAAAGAGCTGAAAAACTTAGGGGGCCGGCCTAGTGGTACAATGGTTAAGTGTGCACGTTCCACTTCAGCGGCCCAGGGTTTGCCAGTTCGGATCCCGGGTGCGGACATGGCACCACTTGGCAAGCCATGCTGTGGCAGGCGTCCCACATATAAAGTAGAGGAAGATAGGCACGAAAATTAGCTCAGGGCCAGTCTTCCTCAGCAAAAAGAGGAGGATTGGGAGCAGATGTTAGCTCAGGGCTAATCTTCCTCAAAAAAAAAAAAAAACACAACCCTTATACTGTACTAAATTTAGTGTGCTACCACAGCACTTGCTTATGATCTCCAACATAAAAATGTATTGTAGGCCCTACAAAAACTAGCTAAAAATATATTTCAGTTGGTTAGGAAGTGGGGAGATTATCCGTGTCCCATTAGATAATATAATTCCATGTGGTCAAAGATACTAATATTGCTATTACTCCAAGATTATGGGAGTGAATTGTGAGTAAATGGTAACAAAACCCTTTCTCCTTCCTCATTGGAAAATTATCACAGGTTAACCTTCTATACTGTTTTCCTGGAAAACTTGATGAAGGTGGAATGTCAGCTGTGTAATCAGGCTACATTCCTTATTGTTAAAAATGACCCCCTTAGAAAACTGCACTTGGGTTAGGAGGACTGGAGATGAATTATAAATACCTGGTGGGAAGCCATAGTTTTGGGATTCCCTGCACCTTACAGTGCAGATGTAATATAAGATTTCTACTTAGAAGCAGAGATAATGTACAGATCATCTCTTGAACTCTCGTTATTTTACTGAGCAGTTGGGCATAGATCATCTAGCATTTTGGACAAAGTTTCTATAGAGAGGGGCCAGGCTGTATATATATATATATGTGTGTGTGTGTGTGTGTGTTCTCCATATTAATAGAGTTATGAGGGCAGGGATATCAAGGTTCCCTGGCTGGAAAAGTGACCTTGTTAGAAAGGAGGAGCCCCTGAACTCCAGTGGCTCCAGTCTATTTTGTTGAGCTTAATCAGACCTATTGAGGCAACTCTGTGCTAAGCCATCAAAAGGGAGAAAGAAGATGAACCTACAGGGCTATCTAGATTTATTTTTTATGAATCCACCCCCAGTCCTTGAGGGTTCGTTAAATATAAGTCTCTTCATTGGTTCTGATTGACACTCTTACTTAGCCTTCCCTGGGACTAGCAAAGTTTCTATGCTGTTGTCTGGGATTGGGGCTTCAATAAGATTCCATGTAGATAGGCCAGATAGGAAGCGACATACCCATCACTATGAGGAATTCACATCATGAGTTAGTGCCTAGAACGTCCTCCAGATGTTCAGCCACCAGACTTGTTCATCCCTATCATATCAAAGTTCAACCAGAGAAACAGAATCAGAAGGAAATATATATTAAGTCATTAATTGCAAGGAATTGGCTAGCACAATTGTGGGGCTGGCAAGACAAGTCTGAAATTCATAGGTCAGGCTGTCAGGAAGGGCAGGCATGAGCTGAAGCTGCTGTCTGCAGGCAGAATTTCCTCTTCTTCTGAGAAGCCTTAGCTCTTCTATTAAGGCTTTTCAGCTGATTGAATCAGGTCCACCAGATTGTCTTGGATAATCTCCCTTACTTAAAGTTAACTGATTATAAACTTGAGTCGCATCTACAAAATACCTTCAAGGCAACAACTAGATTAGTGTTTGATTGAATAACTGGGGACTGTATCCCAGACAAGTTGACACATGAAACTGACCCTCACACCTATAGGTATTAGTTATCCATCACTGCATAACAAATTACTCCAGAATTTAGTGTCTTAAAACAACATTTATCATCTCATGGTTGCTGTGAGTCTGGAATCTGGGTGTAGTGTAGCTGGGTCTTCTGACTGTGGATCTCTCACAAGGCTGCAGTCATCCTAAGACTTGACTGGGGAAGATCTGCTGCCCAGCTCACTAACATGGTTGTTGGCAGGATTCAGTTCCTCGTGGGTTGTTGACTAAGGCATCAGTTCCTCATGAGCTGTTGGCCGGAGGCCTTGCTTGTTCCTGGCCACATAGGCTTCTCCGTAGAATATCTTGCAATGTGGCGGCTTGCTTTATCCGAGTGAGCAAGAGAAAGAGCAAGAGAGAGTGCCAGCACATCACAGTTTTTTGCAGCTCAATCACGAAACTGACATCTCATCACTTTTGCTGTCTTCCTTTTCCTAGAAGTGAGTCAGTAGGTTCAGTCCACACTCAAGAGGATTATATAAGGATGTGAATACCAGGAGGCAGGATCATTAGGGGCCACATCAGAAGCTTCCTACCATAGTCCCACCCCATTATAGTCCAAATTGTCCTTTTTCCACAATAATGCGTTCCGTGGTGACATCTGTGGGCAGAGGAGAGTGACCACAAAACCGCTGGTAGCAAAGTCAGCATCCAGTTCCATATACTGGTGTTTTTGATCTGATCAGTGTGATCTGTCAAGTTTGTTTGCTGAGGTCATATGAAATATATATTCATTAACTGAAGTAAAAGCAAGTATTATATGAATGTCCATATATCCACTGAAGTCAGATCAAGCACACCCACACAAAAGGGAGAGGAATATACTTTTCCTCCAATTCCCCCTCTTCTCCAACCTCTAATTCCTGGTGCTTGGGAACTCAGCCAAGGCAGAGGTTGGCGTGCTTGTGTGCAATTTATAAATAGCTGAAGACAGCCAAACCAGTCAGCCCTGTAAAGATCTTTACTGGGGATTCTGGTAGAATTTTTCATTTGAAGGTCTGGTCCTCTATAAATTATTTCCTTACTGTGATAGATTTGCCTTTAGAGCCAGAAGCTATAATAGAGATAATGGCCACACACGCTTGATTTGCTGTGTTAGTCTCCAGGTGCTTTCTTTAGATGCATTCACTTCATATGAGCATCCACATGAGTGACGTAAAGATTGAGTATGTGAGTTGTATTTGCTTAATTTGTTTCTGTAGAGAGGGACTGTGTATGGGTTTATCTTTAGTAATCCAGTTCTGGGTGTCTCAATGGCCTGTCATACAGCTAGGGCATTTGTGTTGGCACATGAGTGTATGTAAAGGTAAATTTCAGTCAGTCCCAAAGTGGTGTGCTCCCTGCCAAGATCACCATCTGAAGTTCAGCTCCTCACACAGAGCCTCCAAAGCGATGAATGTCTTCATTACAATGGGTGGATGTAGCATTCCATTGGATTTGCCCAACCTGGGGGCAGGCTGTTTTGTTAGAGAACTCTGCTATCTTTTCAGGTGTGAAGTCTGTAGGTAAGGCCCCCATTGAGCCAGTAGTTTGGGTAAAGTAGTAGGTAAGACTTTTGTAATGTCTAAGGCAGAGGTTCTCAGACTTTCTCGGTTCATGGTGTCCTTAGTGTTGTCATATTGTTTTCACAGTGTCCCTAGGCTAAAAGAAACACGTAAAAGTTCCATTTTTTAAGTAAAGTCAAACAACTCAATAAGTATTTATGTCCTAACATCTTAGTAGCCATTTGAAAAAATAATACACATAATTTAAGTACTGTTATTTTATTCTTAACCACAATAACTTGCTAATGGGGTGTATGTACCTGTTGGACACTGCACAGATTCTCAAACCTTGGAATCAGATTAGACACCACCTTATTTCCTGATCCACATTGATTTTCACATACATTTGCTTTTTTTTTTTAAAGATTTTATGTTTCCTTTTTCTCCCCAAAGTCTCCTGGTACCTAGAAGTATATATTTTTTTAGTTGTGGGTCCCTCTAGCTGTGGCATGTGGGACGCTGCCTCAGCATGGCCTGATGAGCAGTGCCATGTCCATGCCCAGCATCTGAACCAGTGAAACGCTGGGCTGCCAAAGCGGAATGTGCAAACTTAACCACTCAGCCATGGGGCAGGCCCCTGAAAGCTATTAGGTTTTTGTTTTTTTTTTTTGAGGAAGATTAGCCCCAAGCTAACATCTGCCACCAGTCCTCCTCCTTTTGCTGAGGAAGACTGGCCCTGAGCTAAGATCCATGTCCATCTTCCTCTATTTTATGTGGGACGCCTGCCAGAGCATGGCTTGACAGGCAGTGCATAGGTCTGTACCTGGGATTTGAACCAGTGAACCCTAGGCCACTAAAGTGGAATGTACGAACTTAACCACTGCGCCACCAGGCCAGCCCCTTCATACATTTGCTTTTTATCTCAACGGTTGCTGAAAACCCAGCTTTGCAAATATACGACATCATCAAACAGAATGTAACATGATATAACTTTGAAACTACGTTCTACCTCAAGCTAGTAGTTCATGCAGTCTCTGCCAGACATTAAGTATGACTGTGTTTGTGTTGACATTTTAAAATATCCCTTGGTACCCCTGTGAATTTGCTATAGCATTCAGGGACACTTCTGCTACTGTTTGGGAACTGCAGCTCTAATAGATGGTCAGCCACCTGTTTGTGAAAGTGTCTTAAGGCCTAGGAGCCAGGTTTAGTTCTTTATTGGAGGTAAAATTTCCATGTGACAATGGAACTTTTGGGAGTTGGTCCTTCTTTATGGGAAGTTAGTTTAGAGAGAAGCCATTGCACGGTAAGATACTAGGTTGGAGAGTCATGACAAAAAGTAGGCAAAAAGCCTACTCATAGTAATCTTGTGACTTTTTACAACTGCTGGATCTGTGGTTATGTTCCCTTTTTCATTCCCTATATATTGTGCCTTCTCCCATTTATTTCTGGATTGATCTCATCCATTTTTAACCCTGCTACTTCTTTAGAAACCTAAAGTAGTTTGATTACTTTGCTGCTGCTGAAAATGCTAATGGAAAATTAAATCCAGAGTCAAATAGGGAGGAGAAATGCAGTCTTGTATAAATGGATCTGTGTTAAACATTAAAAGATACCCTCCTCTACTACTGAGGAGGCTCTCAAAAACTCTGTGTATAAAAATCACTAGGAGTGCTTGTTTAAAATGCAGATGACAAGGTGTCATTCCCCAAAATTCTATATCAATAGTCCTGCCCAGGGTCCTGGAATTTGCAGTTTTAATAAGCACTCAGGTGATTCTGAAGTATGTGATTGGAAAACTACACTTTGAGAAACATGCTCTAATTTGTGCTACAGAAGAGATAAAGGCTTTTAAAATCCCCCAGTGCCTAGTCCCCAGGCTGAATCTCTCTTATTCTGTCTATAGCTTTCTCATCCACAACTCCCCTCACCTTTACCTTACCCTCAACCAAGCTGTCGGGTGAGACTTGCACTCATCTCCTGTTAAGGCAACATTTTGTAATAGTCTCAAGAACTCTTTTTTAAATTTCTAGCCTAGCCAAATACCTGAGGTTAGCCTCAGGGCACCATCCAGCTTCTAACGGATCTATACCATTTCCGGGACCAGTAGAAACTGGACTAAATCACCTGGATTCTTGGTTAAGACTCCACTAATGGAGCAGGATTTGAGAGCAGATTATAGAACAGCACATCTCATAGTGACACCTGGCCTTCTCAGGGCCTCCACTTCTCTTAGATGAAGAAGTTCATTCTCAGCTGAACTTCCAGATTAGATCAGCGAGTTAGCCAGGCATGGAGAAGAGTATCTAGACCTACGTGTGGCATTCTGGGAAGCCCTCCATGGCTTGTGCTGGCACCAAATCTAAACACCCACTCAGTGATCTTCTTGCCTTAACTCTTATTGGGCAGGCCAGCAGATTCCCCTTTGAGTCAAGTCTCAGGGGAATCATTGCAGCACAGCATTGATGACTTTTTCTAGGGCATCACCAGCAAAAGGATCTAGGGCCTTATAAAGGTGCCTGTTCCTGTTCTCCGAAAATTGCAGATTTCCTTACATACAGGTCACTGTTCTGGGGCACACCAAATCTGTTTCTCTATATGAATGTGAAGGATCTTTTTCATATATTCAAGGATCTTGAAGTTCTGATTGAGATTCTTTTTCTCCAATGGATAGGAATTGTCATAGTACAGGGGTAGATTTGCTCTTGAGGACATTTAGTATCTGAAGAGAGGATTAATTGAACAGACAGGTAAATTTTCTCCTAACTTTTGCAGACTAATCATAGAATAGAATCATAAAGTTTTAGCTTTTTGTGGACCTTTGGAGGTCATTTGAAGCAATCTCCCAGTAAAAGATACAGATGAGAAAACTGAATTCCAGAAATGTTAGATGTTTTATCAAAGATCATACTGCTGTTTGGTGGCTGTACTATGAATACAAAAATGTAATTGTTCTGCAATTTGCATCCTGCTAAATTATGTATCTGATACACTACACACTAACAGATTAGATTACCAATAGCCACAGACCAGTTTGAAATCTTTACCAGGGGAGATTGTGTCTAACTAATAAAGCTTTATTTATCTTTATGTTTCAGGACTGAAAACTGCAAATTGTGTTGAGAACGTGGGTAAGATATGCTTTAAAGTGTTATCTCTGTAATGGGAATTTTATCAGTGTTATTTCTCACAGGTATGGGTCAGAGCCACCCTGCCATACTGTCGTAGTGTCAGCCATCATCTTCTCAAAGCTGAATTGTGCTACTGCTACTGCCATTTCTGGTGGAGGGTTCAGGAACCTCTGCTACCTGCTTGTCACCCCACCCCCATCCGCAACCTTGCCCACGGCTGTTCTCTCAAGCACTGCATTTGTCTTGGGAACGCAGAGACCATGCCACTCTCACCCTAGCCTGTCTTTCCAGGAGCGTAAGGATTCCTGAATGTTCCTACGTGACTCCTATACACAGAACTAGACTCATATTCCTTTGATTTGCTATCTTAGGAAAATAACATTTGGGAGACTAATGAAGGAATAGAGTGAATATGGCTCGGGGGTTGGGGAGGAGACAGAGTGGTAATTTGGTCTGAGGGAAAAATAGGAGGATGTAACAAAAATCTCTCTTAGAGGACCATGGGAAAGATTTGGGAAGGTAATTCTAAAAGTATTTAGGAACAGCATTATCAGGGAGGCTCAACAGATTTAAACCAAAGTTGCCAGAATATGCCTTGGGCTGATGTGTGCTTTGGGTGGATCCTTTTGAAGATTTCCTTATTAAAGAGTTTGAAAATAAGGATCTGTTTCTAGCTGTCTTCTCGGCTAGTTTTTCTATTAATTCTTCTTCATGTAGTTAAAATGAATCCACATCCATTTATTTTTGAGACTGAAAACTTATATTTCTCATACTGCCATATATTGTATATATCTTAAATGTAAGTCAACTCATATCTTTATTATTAATAAGCGTTTAAAAATAGACTGAACCTGACATTCACATCTGCGCATAGTACTGTGAAATGAAAAGATATTTATATTTCAGAATATCTTCAACCCATCTATGTCTACAACCCTGGTAAGTATGCTCTAATTTTTAAAAATAATCCTTTCATGGATATTTAGTAGCTCTTTCCTGTTTAGCAAATTGTATTCTTAGCTGAAGAAAAAGAGTACTTTGCAGGTGTGAAGCAGTAACTTGGCAGATGTGAAGGGGAAAAAAAGAATCTATTCTGGGGGAATTTACCTCCCTACAAATGAGAAGGTTGGCCCTCTGGAGATCTGAATAATATGGAAACATCCTGGGGAATAACATGGGGGAACTGCAGAGCTAGTTGCTCTTGACAGGTCTGAGGGCCTCTTGTATGTATAGGTGTATATTCAGTCATTGAGATTAGCCTGTGTGAAACATCCAGATGAAAGTAGAAAAGTAAGTTATTTGCATCTCTCAAATATGCTGATGTTTGGTATCATTTAACTAAAATATCTGGATGTTTAGATGCTTTTTTCCCTCCTAAGTTTCCACTTATGGTGATATGGCCCAAATTACTTATTTGCATTTAAGTTTCTTGTTATGTGTTTGGCCCATGTAATTACAGTAAGTTTTTCTTCACTGAAGAGAGAAGAGTCTCTGACCTTGCCTTAAGTATGCAGTTTACTTGATGTTTGGAAGATATTTCTTGTCCTGATGTGAAGCATTTCATGCCCCAGAGGACTTGCTTAGTAACACTTCTTATTGGCCTGTTGCAGCCACAGGTTTTACTGGTCATTTCACAGAGACCTTAGCTAACTCTTCGAGACAGACATTTTTCTAGCTCATTGAGATCCCCAGGAGACTTGCTGTATGCAATGGTTTTTCTAAGCAGAGAGGGCCAGAGGAAGGTTCCAGCCAGTTAGCCAAGGTGCATTTAGACCCTGGCTGACATTTAAAATAACTAGCATTAGTTTACTGGATATACCAAGTGGTTCTTTATGGCCATATTACCTGAAAATTTTTAGTATAACTATAGTAACTCCAATTATGTTCTTCTATTGTTAAAACTGATGTTTCTTTTTATAACTTAGATGAGAAAAATCAGGTGCTTGAAGACCCTGGTAAGACATTTGCATAAACCCTGGGGTCTTATTACAATTTGCAGGACAGTTCCCTTAGAGGTAAAGCAGGTGGGCATGGTATGGCAAGGAAAAGTGGGAAGAAGGCAGAACCCACCTTAGCTTACTAGTTTGGTGTATCAGAGACCCTCCTGAGTTTCAGTCAGACTTCTTTATAAAGATGACACAGCAGCTGTCTCTGTGCCTCCTAACAATCCTTAGGTCATCCCAGCGGAGCAGTTAGAGACATGACATTAGGAACTACTTTTAGAGAACATACTATTTTCTGTTTTATGATAGCTGTTACATGAATAGAGAAAGGTATGACTAATTATTCCACAAACTCTTGTGACCTAGGGTGTTGGGTAGGGGCATAAGAAAAGTGGCGTTTTTTCCTAGATTAAAATGATAATTTTGTGTATTTATTTTTGCTTCCAGCAATCTGAGCAACACATTAGCTATGTCCATCTGATTATTTAGTATATTGCAAAGTACAGCTCATTCCCAAGTTTTTCTTTGTCTGTTTTTAAAATAATATTACTCAGATGTCCTCAAGGGTGGTGAGACAGGAACACTCTCATAAATTACTGGTGAGATTATAAGTTGGAACTTTTCTGGAGGACAGTTTGATAGTATGTATTGCTAGCCTTAAAAAACCCAGTTATTACACTTTTAGATATTTATCCTAAGGAAATAAATATTTGTGTACAAAATGAGTACAAAAAGGTTTGCACAGTGTTATGTAGCTAAAACTTATAAATAACCTCGTGTCCAAACAGTTGGGTATTAAATAAATTAAATTATTTAGCCATATTATGAAACACCAAACAACTTAAAAATCATATTTTTGAAGAATATTTAAAGATATAAGAAAGTACATAATACAGAGTGGCAAATAAAAATAAGATATAAAACAGCATATAGAATATAATATCAACTTTATTAAAAAATGCCGAAGGTACAAACTTCCACTGGTAAGATAAATAAATAGTAGGGATATAATGTACAACATGACTATAGTTAATACTACTGTATTGTGTATTTGAAAGTTGTTAAGAGAGTAGATCCTAAGACTTCTCATCACGTGGAAAAAAAATATTTTTTTCTTTTTTTTTTTTGGTATTTGAGATGCTTGATGTTAACTAAACTTATTGTGGTAATTTCACAGAATATGTAAGTCAAATCATTGTGCTGTATACCTTAAATTTATACAGTACTGTATGTCAGTTATATCTCAGTAAAACTGGAAAAATGCTAAAATAACATATACGTGCATATACGTATACATAGCAAAGAGATTGAAAGGAAATACACCAAAAATATTAAGAATGAGTAGCTCTGAGATCTGGGATTATGAGTAACTTTTAATAACTTCCTGTGTTTTCCCAAATTATCTGTAATTATAATGTATTATTTATATAATCAAGAAATTTTATTTTGTTTTTAAATATATCATGACAGATTTAGGTCACAGTCTTTGGATTGAATCTAAAAAAAAAAATCGACGAGAGTTGTTTCGCCTAATCTAGGAGAGATGCTGGATCACCAGCCATAGTTCTTGCCATAAATTAGGTACCAGTGGGTTAAATCTTCTCCCCTTTTACCATGTCCCTTGTCATTTCTAAAGCTTTTAGAGTTTTCCACTGTAAATAGCCTTATAAATATATAAGGTTAAATTAATTTTCAAGGTGATTGCATTTTTAATTACATAGTTTCTATTCTCACCTTTAGGAATGGAAAGCCAGGAGTCCACTGTCTTACCTGGTAAGTGATCTTTTTTACTTGCTCTTTGAAGCTAGCTGCAAGATTAGGAGGGGGGGACATGAGGACTCCTAGGACTAAGGACATGACAAGATACGGAGAGTGTGAGGAGTGAGTTAAGCCAGAACAGAGGGACTCCGTTTCTTGAGTGCTTATTATGTTCCACGCAGTATACTAAGCACTTTTACGATGAATCTTCTTTGATCATCACTTACTACAGACCTCCAGGGTATTTCTTTTGCATAAATAAGTAATTGAAGCTCAGAGAGATTAAGAAGCCTGTCTAATCACAGAGCTACTAACTATAATGACAGTAGAGCTAAACCAAGCAGTCTTAAACCCAGTGCGTGTTTCATTTAAAAACTGATGTACTAAGACTGCCTTATGAAGATATGGTTGGGCCAGATCATGGAAATTCTTGGAGTCCAGCTAAGGAGGTCTGGCTTTGTCCAGTTAGAGAATAAAGAGCCACTGAAGGGTGTTTTTGTTGTTGCTGTTGTCTCCCCTCACCCCTTTTTTTTCGGGGTTGGAGATAGAAGTAGTGTAGACAAAAGGGAGCACTAACAATGTAAGATAGTTAACACTAACCAGTATTCATTTCTGCGTTTAGGAATGAGGAGCCATGAACCCACTCAAATCCCTGGTAAGACAGCTTTCTATTTATTCTCTGGGCCCACGTATGAGGTGAGAAGGATTCCCCTGGGCGTTAAGAGAATATTGTCATGAGACTATTGTTCATTAATATTTCCCTTCCAGCCACCTGCCTGTCATTCTACAAAGATTTAGCTGAGGAAGAGAGTAGAGAAAGTGCCTTTTCCTCTCTAGCATTCCTGTGTTCCTGGAGCAGGAAAGTTAGCTCTGTTGGGGACATGGCTGAAGTGCAAGCTGCTGGGTCCTGGGTGCATGTAGTCTAGCACCTTCCAGGTTCTGCAGCTAAAGTTACTCCATAGAAACTTCAGCTTCATGCAGAAGCGGACTGTTGACTTTGGCTAACATTTCAGTGTCTAGGAAATCCAGGTAACAAAACATAGTATTCTTGTGGCATAGAGACAGTCTCACTGAGGTACCATGGCATAGATTTGCACAATGAGGGTTCATGTAGCCAGAACTTTTACATAAGAAAGCCAAAAGCTACAGTGCAGTGGGATCTTTGGTGCTTGTTATCACTTGAACTCATCAGACAAGAGTTTGAAAATTTTCCGTTCTGGAACAAACTGTAAGTCACTGAAAACTTCTTTCTCACTTAGGAATGAAAATTCAAGAACCTTTTTCACTACCTGGTAAGCAGTGTTAGGCATGCCAGTGGGGAAGCTGCCAGTTTGGGCGAGGGGCGGTTTAGACGTAATGGTCACTATTAGATATGCAGGGGAGCCTACGTACTTTGCACAAGATCACATGAGTGAGTGAAGGACCCAGGTCTCTTAACTTATGACCAAGTACCCATTCCTTAAGACTTGTGGTTCCTCAAGTGTTTTTCCAGTATATAAATATATCATGACAGATTTAACCTACTTTTAAGATATAACTATGAAAATGGGTATTTAAAAAGTGTGAGGCTGTTGTGGAGGGTTAGGCCATTGAGGGGCCTTAAGCTTCTATGGCCAGAGAAACTGAACAGTGACTCCTTTCAAGTTTCTCAGAAGGGCCTCAGAACTTATGCTTCCAAGGGAGGAAAAAAATAAAAAGGCCCTCAAACTTAATTTTTTTCCTGAGACAAGGAGAAGTAAATAAAAAAAAAAGTGAACACAGTATAATATTTTACAGAGAGCTATGGACAGTCATAACACTTCTCCATGCCTCAGAATTGTCATCTTTCAAACATGGCTAACACTTGTCATGTTTACCTCACAGGGATATCTGTAAGGACTGTAAAAACCCAAAATCTGAGGGTGTGAGCCCCTATTCAATACTTAACTCCTTTCTCCTGAGTTCGTGTAGTGTTTTGAAAGTAATTTTTGGTAGGTTTTGTTATTATGGAATGACCATCTATTAAAGAAATTAGATTTTTGGCATCTGCTAAATTACATCCATCCACACAGGGCTGAGCTTTGCCTAACATTGCTATCTATGGAAACTGTATGCTGTGTACAGAAACAGCACGTTCACCGTTAATTACCTAAGACACAGACATAGGCCCAGAGACAGGTTCCAGCAGCTCTTTTATAGTCACCCAGATTTGCACTGTTGGATTTACTTGGCCACAACTTTGAAATGAACTTCTAATGACACTGAAGGCACAGCTTGTTTGTCTACAACTTTTTAGCTCTCTGGACCTGAGTTTGCATAGTACTGTCATTGGCACCTTATTAGGCACACTGGTTGGCACTATTATTAGACACACTTTGCAGGCTGTGGGGGATGAGCATGGGCTGTGTAGACAGACTGACCTGGCTTCATGAAGTCTCTCCTTTGCCACTTTCCTCTGGGTAACTTTGTATAAGTTACTTCACTTTTCTACACCTCTACTTCCACATCTGTAAAATGAGGAAAACTTCTGTCTTGCAGGACTAATTGGTGTCCTAATGAGCTAAAGTACTGGCAAAATGAATGATAGTTTTAAAATAGTAGTAAATGGTAGCTGTCTTAACATTATTATCTGAAAATCTCTTTCTCATTTAGGAGTAAAAGTGGTACAACCGGACGAAAAACCTGGTAAAAAATTCTTTTTGTTATATTTTTTTATTAAAGTATGGTTGACATACAGTATTGTGTTAGTTTCAGGTTTAAAACATACTGACCCAACAATTATATACATTACCAACATACATATACGTACATATACACCCTGATAAGACTAGTGACCATCTGTCACCATACAAAGTTATTACAATATTGTTGACTGTATTCCCTGTGCTGTACGTCACATCTCCATGACTTGTTTATTTTATGACTAGAAGTTTGTACCTCTTAATCCCCTTCACCTATTTTACCCACCACCCTCCACTCTGGTAACCACCAATTTCTTCTCTGTACCTGTGAGTCTATTTCTGTTTTGTTTTGTTTGTTTTTTAGATTCCAGATATAAGTGAAATCATACAGTATTCGTCTTTGTCTGACTTACTTCACTTAGCATAATACTCTCTAGATCTGCCCATGTTGTCACAAATGGTAGGATTTCATTTGTTTTTATGGCTGAGTAGTATTTCATTGTGTATATACATACCACATCATCTTTATTCATTCTTCTACTAATGAACACTTTGGTTGTTTAGCAGCATGTCGTTTAGTCTCTGCATGTAGGTATTTTTTCCATTTTCTTCTTGTAATTGATTTTTAGTTTCATACTATTGTGGCTGGAAAAGATGCTTCATATGATTTCAGTCTTCTGGTATTTATTGATACTTGTTTTGTGGCCTAACATGTCATCTATTTTGGAGAATGTTCCATGTGCATTTGAAAAGAATGTGTATTCTGCTGTTTTGGGATGGAATGTTCTGTATATCTCTATTAAGTCCATCTAATGTGTTTTTAAGGCCAATGTTTCCTTATTGGTTTTGTCTGGGTAATCTATCCATTGATGTACATGGGGTGTTACAGTTCCCTGCTATTATGATGTTACTGTCAACTTCTCCCCTTATGTCTATTAATAATTGCTTTATGTGTTTAGATAGTGCTTCTCTGTTGGTCAGGTATCTATTTACAAATGTTTTATCCTCTTGTATTGTTTGCTTTATCATTATGTAGTGCCCTTCTTTGTCTCTTGTTTTTGTTTTAAAGTCTGTTTTGTCTGATACGATTATTATTACCCTAGCTTTCTTCTCATTTTGATTTGCATGGAATATCTTTTTCCATCCCTTCGTTTTCAGTGCGTGAGTGTCTTTAGATATGAAGTGTGTCTATTGTAGGCAGCAAATATACATGTCTTGTTTCTTGACCCATTCAGCCACCCTGTTTTTTTGTTTTGGGGTTTTTTTGCTGAGGAATAGTCACTCTGAGCTAACATCTGGTGCCAGCCTTCCTCTTTTTGCTTGAGGAAGATTAGCCCTGAGCTAACATCTGTTGCTAGTCTTCCTCTATATTGTATATGGGTCGCTGCCACAACATGACTGCTGAGGAGTGGTGTAGGTCCACGCCTGGAATATGAACCCATGAACCCGGACCGCCAAAGTGGAGCGCGCCAAACTTAACTACTAGGCCACAGGGCCAGCCCCCACACCCTGTGTCGTTTTATTGGAGCATTTAGTCCATTTAAAGTAATTATTGATAGATATGTATTTATTGTCATTTTGTTAATTGTTTCTGGATGTTTTTGTAGTTCTCTATTCCTTTCTTCTTTTCTTGCTCTCTTCCCTTGTGTTTTGATGATTTTCTTGTTATGTTTGGATTTCTTTCTCTTTATTTTTTGTGTATTTATTATAGGTTTTTGATTTGTAGTTAGCATGAGGTTCATTTATAACAACCTATGTATATATCAGATTGTTTTAAGTTGATGATCTCTTAAGTTCAAATGCATTCTAAAAGCCCTACATATTTACTCCCCCCACCATGTTTTATGTTTTTGATGTCATATTTTACCTCTTAATTTTGTGTATCCTTTAACTTCTTATTGTAGATATAGATGATTTTACTACTTTTGTCTTTTAACCTTCATACTAGCTTTATTTGTGGTTGATCCACTACTTTTAGTGTATGTTTGCCTTTACCTGTGAGATTTTTTTTTTTCTTTTGTAATTTTCTTATATTTTGGGCCAGTTCTTTTTTGCTTAAAGAAGTCCCTTTAACATTTCTTGTAAGGCTGGTGTAGTGCTGATGAACTTTTTTAGTTTTTGCTTATCTGGAAAACTCTTTCTTGCTCCTACCATTCTGAATGATAACCTTGCTGAATAGAATATTTTTGGTTGTAGGTTTTTTCTTTCAGTACTTTGAATATATCATGCCACTCTCTTCTAGCCTGCAAAGTGTCTGCTAAAAGTCAGCTGATAGTCTTATGGGGTTTGCTTGTATGTGACTTGTGGGTTTTTTCTTGCTGCCTTTAAGATTCTTTAACTTTTGCTATTTTAATTATAATATATGTTGCTGTGAATCTCTTTGGGTTCATGTTCTTTGGGACTCTGTGTACTTCCTGGACCTGATGTCTGTTTCCTTCCCCAGGTTAGGAAAGTTTCCAGCTATAAATTTCTTCAAATAAGTTCTTTGCCCCTTTGTCTCTCTCCTCTTCTTCTGGGACCCCTATAATGCAAATATTAGATCACTTGATGTTGTCAGAGGTCCCTTAAACAATCCTCATTTAAAGAAAATTTTTTTCTTTTTCCTGTTCAGCTTGGGTGATTTCCTTTACTCTGTCATCCAGATTGCTGATCAGTTCTTTTGTATCATCTACTTTGCTATTGATTCCTTCTAGTGAATTTTTCACTTCAGTTATTGTATTCTTCATCTCTGATTGTTTTTTTGTATTTTGTAATCTTTGTTGAAGTTCTCATTCTGTTCATTCTTCTTCTGAGTTCAGTGAGCATCCTTATGACCACTACTTTGACCTTTTTATCAGGTAGATTGCTTATCTGTTTCAAGTAGTTCTTTTTCTGAGGATTTGTCTTATTCTTTCATTTGGAACATAGTCCTCTGTCTCCTCATTTTGCTAAATTCTCTTTGTTTGTTCCTATGTAATTGGTAGATCAGCTACATCTCCTGATCTTGGAAAAGTGTCCTCATGTAGGACATATCCTGTGGGGCCCAACAGTGAGCCAGGTGCTCCAAGAATGTTCTGTGTGTGGGCTGTGTGTACCCTACTGTTGTGATGGGGCTGTGACTGCTGCAGGTGTGCTGGTAGGCAGGATAAACCCCTCGAGTGGCTGACACTTTGTGCGGGCACACTGGTGAACAAGGCAGGCCCCCAGTGTTGCACGTTGTGAGGTCCAGGAATGTTGACTGTTGCAGGCATCCTATTGGGTGGGGTAGGCACTTAGTGTGGCTGGTTGTGAGGCCTGGTAGTACATGACTGCCTTGGGCATGCTGGTGAGTGGGGCAGACCCCCATGCCAACAGGTTAGAGGAGCAGTTCTAAAATGGCACCTACCAATGACATGAGCATGGCTCAACAAGGTCACAAAAATGGCTGCCGCCAGTGTCTCAGTTCCTGAGAGGAGCCCCAGCTCCTCCTGCCTCTCTGGGAGGCACTCCAAGCTTAGTACGTGGGTCTCCTTCACCTGTGGACTACATCCTTTTCTATCTGGTGTTTTTGCACTGGTTTCTGGGTTGAGTGAGTCTGTGCATGAGCCCTTTAAGAGTGGATTTTCCTTTCCCTGTAGTTCTATAGTTTTCCTGGGCATATTCAACGTTGGTTTTCAAAGCCAGGTGTTTTGGGATCTTGTCTTTATTGTACTGGATCTAATGGTTGGGGTCCCTAATGTGGAGCTTGAATCCCTTGCTCCTCTGGGAAAAGCTTCTTATCTTTGAGATCACTCCCAACCATGAAACACCATGGCCAGGGTGTGGGTTTTTCCTCAGTGGGACCATATCTCTGCCTCTTCCACCTCTCTTGGTTTTGTCTTTTTTTGTGGAAGCTCTTTTCATCCAGTTTCCAGATTTTCAGAGGAAATTATTCCACATGTGGTTGTAGATCTGTTGTGTCTGTGAGAGGAGATGAGCTCAGGATCTTCCTATGCCTCCATCTTCCACACACTCTCTAATAAATTTTTTTTCTCATTTTTTAAAATTTGAGTTCATAATAGTTTACATCATTGTGAAATTTCAGTTGTATATTATTTCCTGTCTGTCACCACATAAGTGCTCCCCTTCACCCCCTGTGCCTACCCCCTATGCCTACCCCCTACTCTCCTTCCCCTGGTAACCACTGAACTGTTTTCTTTGTCCATGTGTTTGTTTATATTCCACATATCAGTGAAATCGTCTGGTGTTTGTCTTTCTCAGTGTGGCTTATTTCACTTAGCATAATTTCCTCCAGGTCCATCCATGTTGTTACAAATGGGATGATTTTGTCTTTTTTTATAGCTGAGTAGTATTCCATTGTATGTATTTCCCACATCTTCTTTATCCAGTCATCAGTCAGTGGGCACTTGGATTGTTTCCATGTCTTGGCTGTTGTGAATAGTGCTGCAATGAACATAGGGGTGCATATATTACTTTGGATTGTTGATTTCAAGTTGTTTGCATAGATAGCCAATACTGGGATACCTGGGTCATATAGTATTTCTGTTTTTAGTCTTTTGAGGAATCTCCATACTCTTTTCCATAGGGGCTGCACCAGTTTGCATTCCCACCAGCAATGTATGAGGGTTCCCTTTTCTCCACACCCTCTCCAACATTTGTTATTTTGGGTCTTAGAGATTATAGCCATTTTAACAGGTGTAAGGTGGTATCTTAGTGTAGTTTGATTTGCATTTCCCTGATGATTAGTGATGCTGAACATCTTTCCATGTGTTTATTGGCCATCTGTATATCTTCTTTGGAAAAGCATCTGTTCACATCCTCTGCCCATTTTTTGATCGGGCTGTTTGTTTTTTTGCTGTTCAATTGCATGAGTTCCTTATATATTATAGAGATTAACCCCTTATCAGATATATGATGTGCAAATATTTTCTCCCATTTGGTGGGTTGTGTTTTTGTTTTGATCCTAGTTTCTTTTGCCTTGCGGAAGCTCTTTAGTGATGAACTCCCACTAGTTTATTTTTTCTTTTGTTTCCCTTGCCTGAGAAC